CTCAAGGGAACCCCACCCACCCACCCAAACCCGGAGAAATGTTTCTGGGAGTCACATTGGCACACACGCCCCGCGACCATCCCCCTCCTATGGGATCCACCACGACACACACACTGTGCCACCGCACCTAGGCACACAAAATATACATAGCCACACCCTTGTATGCACCCCAGTCATGACTTGCTCACACAATCCACACAGGTAGCACCCTCCTTTGCAGCCTCTAACACACTCAAGCACAGGACTAGCACCTACACATCGTGACTGAAGGTCTAGCTCAGACACACAACTGCATCGCCACAATCCATACAAACATAGTGCATCACGGACCTAACTCACACACTCAACCTACCCACGCACAAGCACAGTCTTCCCCCCCCCCCCAAAACTCATATGCACACCCTCTGCACCGCCTCGCACGGCCCGCATTCCAATGGTCCAACCCAGACTCCCCATCCCCCAGCGGAGAGGGGCCCGGGGCCAGGCCTCTGAGCCGCCAGAGACGCTCCGAGGCGGCCTGTGCGTCCGGGACTTTGTTTCCTGCGACTCGAGGCGGGGACGGGGAGGAGCCGAGGTTTCCAGAGCCGCGCGCAGGCCCGAGCCCCCTTTCTGGCCAGTTCGCCAGACGAAGCCCTCCTCCGGCCACAATCCGCCCCTCGCACAAAAGCTGCCCTGCAGGTTCGGGGCCTGGCGCCAACGCGCCCGCTCCAGTTGGGCTGCGCTGCCAGGGGGCAGTGGCAGAGGCGCCTGGGAGCACCGCGCACCCAGAACGGGAGCCAGGAGAGAGTAATGGTCCGGACAGGGGGCAAGGCACCTTGGGGGAGAAAAAGATGCGTCATCCTCCAGCCTACGCGGCTCTTAATGGAGCAGAGGAAGTGGATCAGATCCACAAACGCTCACGGAGCCCACGTGTACCTCACGGGAGAGCGTAGCCGGGTTCCACGTGCCTTGTACATTGTTTGACCCGTGCAGAGAAACGAAAACTGAGAACTTAGGCCTCTCATCTTCTGCACATCCACTCCCGCATGAGGAGTGGCACAGCGGGGCGCACAGAGAAGGCCCACAAGTAATCCACGCGGGAACGCGTGCCCGACCTCCCTATGCAGGGTCACAGACAGGACAGAGCGCATGCAGAGCTCGGGGTTTCGGGAGGATCGCAGAAGCTGACCTACGAGGCACACAGACCCCTGCCCAGGAGCATTCAGGCCAGGCACCCATGTCACATGAGGGGAATACAGACCCTGGGCACAATGCTCCCTCACCCCCCTGCTCACTCCCTGCCCAGGGTCCCAAAGCCTCTGCGCGCTCGCGCGGTTAGGAGGACGCAGCCGCGAGGCACACGCGCCCGGTGCACCCTGCCCCGCGCCCAGATAGTCATCGTGGGATGGCATCTCGCAAATATTTATATTCCCCGGCGCCACGGCAGCCCGCGTCCACATTAGAGGCTCTAATCCTGCCACTTTAAATAGATGTATTAATAAAGCAAACGAGCGGCTAATAAGCTGACGGTCCTGCCTTTTTGAGGCGGGGGAAGGACTGGAAAGTGCGCCAAATTTGTTTGCAGTGGATCAAGGCGAGCCGCCTCTGCTTCACTTTCTTTATCTTAATTCCGACTTGAAAAGATATAATTATCTAGTTTGAACAGAGCTGCTATCAAATCCTTCTTTGGACCAGGAAGGGAGGCGTTGGAGTGGATTGCGGCTCTCTGAGCCGCTCCATGCAGCCGGAGATAGCGCGTAATGAAGATGTGGAGACCGAAGATACAAAGGGCATTAACCTCATTACCATGAAACCTTTTCTTCTTACCATTGTGGGACCCTTTCAGCCGCCTAATCCCCCCTATTTTCAAAGCTTGGTTTGTAATAAAGCTTTTAGGTTTTTTTTTTTTTTTTCCAAAGCTAATAGTATTCTCTGATGATTTTATTGCTGTTACACTCTATAGGACGTTTACAAAAAAAAAAAATCTTTGTCACCCTCTCCCTTCTCTGCTACTCAACGCAGTAATAACAAAGTATACGGTTTCTGCAGAAATTAGCCTTTTGTCAAGATGGGAAGCTTCTCTTGGGAAAGGCCAGTCTGAGTTTTAAGGAGACTGGGCTCAATTTGGGAGCCATTCCAGGTTTGGGGAAGTGGATGGAAGGAAAGGGAACCTGCAGTGGTTTAAGCGAAAAGGATGTGGCGCCAACGGAGTGACTGCAAAGTGAGTAGAACAGCAAGCAGTCACCGAGGGTCCCCCTGACAAAGTGGATCAGAGCCCCATGCGGGTCCTGGGCAGCACCTGTCCCTGAGTGGAGCAAACCCAGGCCTTCCTGAGGCCACCCCTCTCCTCTTGGCATCCCTTTGTGGCCAAGTCTCCCCAAACAGACACACACCTTTGGGAGAGGGGTCTGCTGAAAATGCACTATGCGCAGCTGTGGTTCTCAAGAGAAACAGAGACAGAGAACTAAGGAGAGACAGAAGAGAGAGAGAGAGACAGAGAAACCGAGAATGAATTCTATGTTAGAAGAGAGGAGGGAAGGAAAAAAAAAGAAAGAAAGAAAAATTTCCATAGTGCCCTATAGTCCCCGCACGTGCACGGAATGTCTAATCTTAACTTTTCAAGGCAGGATGTTAACAAAGCTTGTATTTTTGCCCTGCATTGTAACTTGGCCTTATCACAGTGTAAAGGGTGGGGAGATTGTCCTAAATTATGTCCAGGCAGCCCCCCTGGCTCCGTGGATTAAGAGATTAAAGGAGACCACTGGGCAAGGCCTCCTCTTTCCCCTTCATATTCCTGGTATGATAATTGCTTAAACTGATTTGCACTTTCACAAAAGCTCGCAGGACGCTTTGTAGCTCGAACAGAGCAGACGAGGTTTCTCTATCAATGGAAATAAAACTGATTAATGCAGCCTATCAGGGTAAGAAGCAAATGAAGCATGCAAAAACAACCTCGTACCCCTAGAAGGGGGAAGGGGGGAGCTGAGTTTCCTCCAAGACTGGTTACAACTTTTTCTTTAATGTTAAGAGTTGAAGGTTTCTCAGAATGCTTGCCTTATAAGGCTTCTGAGGCCCTTAGACTCACTCGCCTGATCACCTTCAGTTGATTGGGGCTGGAGAAAGAGGAAAGAGAGGAAGGAAGAAGGGGAGGAAGGGAGGGAAAGAAATAAGGAGAAAGAAAGACATTTGTGTTTTGGGATTTTCAGTCAGAAATATCAAAGCTTAAAAGCCCCAAGATGCTGAATCTGCTAAGTGCTTTCCCCAGTCCTGGGGGAATATCATTTAATCTATACCCATATTTCCATCATTTAAATCATCATCATCGTCATCACAAGAGATTAAGAGAAGTAAACATTTTCAAACTGAAATTTAAACTAACCTCCCTCAGTAGGGCTCACAGTGGGCGAAAATCTGGTTGGAAGATTTTTCTCTCATGCCTTTTCTGAAGCGCTGCAATTTTTCTAATCCTCTCCCTTTTCCACCTCTATCTTTCTTTAAAATGCCCAAGAATCCATCAGTCTGTCCCTTTTGTGGGGGAAGGGTGCCCAGGTTTCTTGAGTCTAGTTGGGAGCATACCACACTGAAAAGTATTAAGATACTTAAAAAAAAAAAAAAAAATCCGTTTCAATTTTCCAAGACGACTATTCTGCGGGCATATTGATAAATCTTTATTGACAAAATATTGACATTGACATACTTCTTGGAAGTATATAGTGTGTTAGAATTCTAACAAATTAACACAAAACACAAAAATATTTACATTCTGGTATAGAAGACATTAAGGAAGCATTTGCCACACTCTTTAGTAAGTCTATGCTCTTGGAATAGAAACTCAGTGCTTGAAAACTTGTCACCTTGTCCTTGGCCACACTTAACATCATCCCTACTAACTACAGTCCTGTAGTTTTTGCAACAGATAGATTTTATGTCTGGAATGGCCTCCACCGTGAATGGCTGAACTCGGCCAATTTCTCCAACCACTAAAGGAAGAAGTTTACTTCCTGGTTTTAAACCTCAGTATGTTGGGAAAGGGAATGTCCAAGAAATAGAATTAATTTAGTTTGTTTTTCCAGCACAAGTCCTGACTCCACTGTGGGGACCCTCCCCCGCCACCCCCAGCCCCCCGCCTGCTCCCTGTTTTTCTGGAAGAGGACCACTAATGCTGAGCCTACCGCACTTAGCTTTCACAATCATTTTGACATCAGAAGGTATCAAAAAGTGTTTACTCACTGCACATTTCTCAAAATTAAAAAAAAAATCAAAATGAAAAGCACACGGAACCTGTCTTTAAAAGGAAAAGAAAATTACAATTCATGTTCTGTCTTTAGACACCATTCGCCCAACGACTGCTACATGCAATTCAAGTTTTTGAAACAGGTGTGGGGATGCTGGATATGGAATTTCAATCGTTACAATTATTGATTATTTGTAAAGACCGCGGGGGAGGGGGGAAAGCACTGTGAAGTGCAAAATAAGAAGTCCTGTGCCTGGTTGGTTTTGGTTTGTTCTGATCATCAATGCCATCATTTTTTATAAGAAAAGTGGACTGCGAAAAACGGAATACCTGCCAATGGTCTGGTCTGGCGGGTTTGGCGTTTGACTGACAGCTCCCCTGCTCTGAGCGCGTTGGGCTCGGCAGCGTTGGGAGCCCTCGCACCCGCTCCCTCTCTCTCTCTCACTCACTCTCTCACTCAGCTGCCTCTTTAGACGAAGGTTGCGTGTTGATGAAGGAGCCCCGTCGTCCTGGGCCGGCGTGGGGCAGCCTCGGACTGGGGCCCTGCGTCCTGGCTGTCCGGTCTGCGCTGCCGGAGCCGCCGGCTCAGCCTCCCTCTCCCTTTCTCCAAGAATGTGTGTGCGGTTTGTTCGGTTTTGTTTGTAGGTGTTTTCTTCTTCCCCTTCTCTCCGTGCCTCGCTTTTGCTCCTTTTTGTCTGTTTCTGTGGGTTTCCGTTTGTGTTTTCAATCGTCTGAGGTCACGTCTATTTCCTCAGGACTCGCCTGCTTGGTGGCGATCCTCCACCGGTTAATATGGTGTGTCCCTTTTTTCTTTTGTTGCGAATCCGAGCCTTCTTCCTCTAGTTTTTGCCTTTTGAACTTCGTCCTTCGGTTCTGAAACCATACTTTTACCTGCCAGCGAGAAGCAGAGGTACATTAGTTCCTCCGCTGCACCTGGTATCAACCACCTGAGCCCTTCGCCCAACCCAGGCCCAGAGCCAAGACTGTGAGGGTCCGGTCCCCCAGCTGCATAGCCTAGGGCCCGTCTCCCCTGGGCTCCTGGCCCTTCTGGGGCCGCTGTCCCCAGGCCGCTCAGCTCAGAGTAGATAATGCCCCTTCCCCACACTCACCCTGCTCAGGGCACCCACACCCCACTGAAAGAAAGACCTTGGAAAGTATGAGAACTCCTTGCAAATATATTGTCCCCAAACCCAAACCCACTGCCGTAGCAACCCTATAGGACAGAGTAGAACTGCCCCATAGGGCTTCCAGGGCTGAAATCTTTGTGGAAGCAGGCTGCCACATCGTTGTCTCACAGAGCTTCTGGTGGGTTGGGACCACAGACCTTTCAGCTAGCAGACGGGCATTTAACCACTGTGCTACCAAGACTCTTGCAAAAATAGTAAGTAATGGAAAATAAAAGGCATGTGTCCCTAACTCCCTCCTGCAAGAGGGTGCAGGAGAGACCTTCTGCCTCTGCAGTGGCTTCCCAACAGCCCAAAGTGCTATCTATTTTCCCGGCTTTGGGCAGGCTCAGCCTAAACGTAGTGCCTCTGCAGCAGGACCCGCCCTAGAAAGGCAGTCGGGGTCTGGCTGAGCTGCGGGCTCCGCACCGTGGCTCTCGCAGGTGAGCAGGACAGGATGGGGAGCTCCAAAAAGAGACTGGGGAGGCTGGGGTGCCCAGGCCCCAGGACCACAGCTGCACCTCTCCAGCCAGGAAAAGAGGTTCAAAAGTGAAAGCGCTGGAAGGCCATGGAGAGAGGAATAAGAAAGACCGAGAAAGAGAAGGGGCGATTGAATCCTCCTGTCTTCCACCTCCTCAGCAGCCACAGCAGAGGCCTGGGCCAGGCCCCCACCCAGTTCTCATCCCACAGCCTGTTTTCCCCACAGTGGCTGCTGGAGGTCAGGGAGCACTGAGGCCGAGTCCCTGCAATCCCCACGGCCCCTTGGGGAAGCTGAGCAGTGGGTCCCCATCCCAGACACCAAACAGCAACACTGCCCAAACTTCCCCCTAGGGGAAGGATGGGGGCGACAGTGGTGACTCCACCTCCCTGACCCTCACCTGCCCTGTCCAATTGTGACAGTAGCAGCCCAGGCCAGGCCCGAGCCCCCAGGCCCCAGAGGTCCCCTCCACTCCCTCCTCTGAGACTGCAGGCCAGGGTCCTGGCTCGCTCTTCTCCGCAAGCCCCAGTTCCCCAAAGCGCCCCACGCCACAGCAGAGCGGGAACAAGGCTGAGTTTAATTTGCTTTGAGTTTGCTAATTGAGGAGGAGGACGGTTCATTTCTCCCCGGCGCTCGCCCAAGGCGCGCGTCGGTGCGCTCGGGGCTTGACACGCACACAAAGGCTCCAGGCAGCGTGGGCAGCGAGGCGGACAAAGACCTCCGCCGCCTGGGCTGTCCGGGAGAAATCAGCCGGCTGCGCCGTGTGCCCGGCCGCGCACAGCCGCGAGCCCCTCCTCGGTTTTGTCCGGGGGAGGGGGGACGTTTTAAAACAAAAGCCTCGACCCCTTTGCGCCTCCCAGAAAAAGTGTTACAGCTTAATCGGCCTACGTTTCTGTTTACCGGGAACTTTGACCCCGCCCTGTGGCTCCGCATACAGTGTCGCCTACAGTAGCCCTGCGCCCCCTCCCCACCCTGGGGCAGGCCCCAGCCAGGCCCACCTCGGGACCCTGCTGCGCGGGAAGGGCCTGTCCCCTGAGGCTACCCCTCTCCGCAGCTTCTCAGCCTTGAAGCTCTGGTTTCGGGACGCGCGGGGCCTCAGCCATCTGACTCCGAACCCCGAAAGGGGAGTAACCCGAGCCGTCGATGGGACCCGAGAGCCCGCGGTCGCTCGCTGCTCGCTCTTAACTCGCTCCCTGCCCTCCCCAGCCTCGCGCCCCTAATATCCAGCCACTCGGCTGCGTTCTCGCTCTTCCTGGGCCCAGTCCGGAGACACTCGGCCTGTCTCTGGGGGCAGCCTGGCCCTAGTGACTCTCACCAAAATTCTGAGCACCCAAAGTGCTGAGGTGTCAGCCTAGAGAGTCCAGGGTTGCCCAGACGGGCGGAGGGGATCGCTCGGCTGTCCCTGGAAGTCTGGGGAAAGC